TAATAGAATTTGCAATTAATATAAAACTATACACATAACAATAAGAACCGTAACATCACTCATAAGTCACTAGTGAATTTTTATCAAACGTCTAATCGATTAAAGTAACTATTTCACAATTAACTCATTATCACATATTTGTTGAACGCACTTTGTTTCCTGAAAAAGACAAAAGCTGAATGTAAATTCATGACTTTTACATTTTAATATAAATGATGTCACCAAAAACGCTTAACTACTATTTCTTTTAGTAAATTAAAGGATCTTTAGATCAAATATTGTTATATAAGTTCCTAAATATTATACTAAAAAATTTAAATTTAGATAAAATATCATACATCAAGAGACTAATAATGTAAAAACGACAACGAATATGTAACTGCAGAAGGGCAATAAAAAGGTTGCCAAAATAAACACAAGAAACTGTATTTACAATTTATTCTTTTAATATATGATTTTTCTTACCTAATACTTTCATTAGTTAACCAAAATTTTAATGTAAATAAGCAATTATTAACCATTTCTTTATTTTTCACACAAATGAAATAACGAAATTAACCCAACTTAACGATCGAAGAAATTCAGAAACAAACTGAAATTACAGTTCCATAACCCCAACTATGAAGGTTATGAAGGTATGTGAAGGTTTAACAGTTAAGATAAAAGTACATGACAGGTAGCAGCACATGGTAGATAACTACAGATAATTCAACATGGGAGACATCTTTTGTCGAAAAATACAAATAATAATTTTATCTACAAGTACAGATTTACAAAGAACTTCTAAATGAATATTAAAAGTTTACTCTAGATATCTCAACGTTTCTAATATGTTGAAAATAATAATAATATTATTTATTTGTCCTAGAACAACTAGGAAGTGTATAATAAATTGGTGACTCAACTATGATATTATGACCACAACAGATGATTTCAATTAATAAAAAGTATAATTATCAAAAATCGAAAATGACTTGAGTCAGAACAAAATTTGTTTCTGAATTAAAGATGTTCTTTCTTAAATTTATATCTATCAGGTTCGACTTACTAGCGATGGGCAAAGTAGGTAATTTCTTGTTGGCTTTGTTAAGTTGATTTTTTTTTTGTGTGTTTAATTTATTTATTTATCTTTTTACTTCATTGTATTTTCTTTCATTTTTTTCATTTGATACTTTTTATAAATTTTGTTAAACCATGTACCAATTCATTGCGAAATTAGTGTAATTTCATGTGTTATGTCTTTAATTCCTAATAAATTTTCAATGCCTTGTAGGCGAATAAAATAAATGCTCCTTAAGTGAAACTACCATGTAAGGAAAAACATTTAAAAATTACCCACAACTTGGTGAATGAATATGATAGAACATGAATAGACTATATGTCATCTAGATAATTTATTAAAAAATTCCATCTCTACATATTCGATAGATAAAAGAAATTTAATTTATCAGCTTTTTATTTATGTGTTGTCTCTATAAAAAAAAAAAAAAAAAGAAGGGCCAGGAATACCACATTAGTTTTCAAGATCTCATAAAAAAACCGTAGTGTAATCTGATGAGAACTTAACCAAAGTGTCAATATATTACTTCTTCTTTGCCCAATTTTCAGATAAATGTAGGTCATTTAAAGAGGTCTGTTGTCATATATCACCTGATTTAAAATTTATCCTTCATTTTTATTCTTAAATTGTTACTAGAAATTCCTTAAATTGATGAATCCAGTCTTCAAAAGTTATTACTTTAAGTCTAATTATCCTAAAAGCTTATTTTTAACTTGAAAACAGAATGTTTGGATATCGCCTAAGATTCTGCAATAAGATGGAGCTCATGACTACAACTACAAGTTATTTCTAGATTTGCTAGCATGCTTTGGTATTTCTCAAAGTCAAGAAAAATTAAAATACAAAACACAATGGCTTATTATCAAGTTTCCAACAGTAGGCTAATGGGCCTCACATGCTGGGACGGGGAGGATCACAGGCATCATGGCTTCACCTGGTGGATAGTCACAAAATTATCGGTTACCGTGCTCGACCTTGCTTAGCTTTGATTACCTATTGCAAGTTTCTTTAGCCCGTTCGATCATGAAGGGTGTCCTGTAATTATAGGGAAATTTTGATAAGAGTGACAGCAGGCTTCAAGACCTATAAAAAATTTCATATAAGAAAAGGGCCAATTTTCAACTAAAGAACCAAGTTTTGTGATTATTTAAGTCATATTTTTTATTGAATAGGAAACAATAACTAAATATATATTTAATTTAAGTTATTAACAATTATTTCGCTGTAAACTAGACAAAATTTACTTTGAATGAAAATAGAGAGTTTGTCATTATTAAAACTATTTAAAGAGGACTTTCGAGCGGCTAAACTAAGCTATGTTTTTTTAAAATATCATACATTATTTGCGATTTTTTTTTATTTCATCACCCAACTATACCACAGATACCTCACTTTTTGAAAAACTTCCTCGTTTAACTGGCTTTAAGTCCTAATTAATTAAGAGGAGAATTACTAGGCAAAAACTTGAGATTCGCCTCAAGTTGTGTGATTTTCTATTCAGTCTCTTAAAAGTACCCATGTTTCCAGCAATAATGACTACAATTAATTGTCACAAAGCTCTTATTTCTTGTTTTGCCATGATCTGGGATGTATTGTAATAAAAATTATTATCTAAATTCAAATTTTATTTATAAAAAATAAAGATGTAGAGATGGTTGACCATGACATAATATGAGAAGGAATTGGTCGGGAAGTGCGGTCAAATAAATACTGAATTTTTAAAAAATAGTATTTTTAATTACTCCCGATATAATTAAAAACGCCTGACATAATTAAAAATACTATTTTTTAAAAATTTAGTATTTATTTGACCTCAACCTCCCTCCCCCTCCCCTTCCCTGACAAATTCCTTCTCATATAAAAAATAAAAATCTTTTTAAAAAACTTTAAATAGTTTTATCAGTGACAAACTCTTTCTTCATTTGAAGTAAATTTTGTCTAGTTTACAGTGAAGTAAATTACTTTATTCAAATTTACTCTAGTTGTCGTTTCCTGTTCAACAAAAATCATCATTTTCTTTAAAAAGACACAAAACTTGGACTTTTTACTTTTCTAATAAAATTGGCCTATTGTTTATATAAACTTTTTATAGCTTTTGAGGTCTGCTATCACTCCAATAAATATTTCCCCCTGCTTACAGGACAATACATAATTAAGGAGGAAAATATAATTTTATAACCACTTTCCATGAAAAAAATTTGAAAAATCATTATTTTATATTCATAAATAAAATGTGTATTTAGTCAATTATGTTTGTTACAATACATCCCAGGTCATGGAAAAACAAGAAATAAAAGCTTTACAACAGTTAATTATAGCCATTTTTGCACTGTAAACACAGGTACTTTGAGATGACTGGTTAGGAAATCACTCTTTTGTCCTATTTTGGCATTGAAATCACCTATGGCTAACTTTATGTCATGTCTATGAGCTTGGTCCATAATATTTTCTAAATAATAGTAGAAACTCTCCTTCAACTCTTCTTATTTATCTTCTGTTTATGCATACACGTTAATAATCGTAGTGTTTAACTAAGATGTAAACTTATAACACTAATTCTTTCGTTAATCGGGGTGGGGTTTATGACTAATTTCGTTACCGCTGGACTAAGTAAAACCGGTGCGGCTCTTTCATTTTGATCGTTTCCCTCCGGTATGGAATAGTGTACGTTCGTCGATAGCTGTTTCACCACCTTCTGTCCATCTCACTTTTTAAATAGCCGTTAAATGTCAGTTGTACCTTTTTAGTTAGTTTCCTCTGGATAAGCTACGTACATTCCATGACCCAATGCATAGTTCGTGATATAAACACGGGATGGCTGCCTTGTTAAGAACATCGAACCCGCGTGGTAGTGCTCTGAGTACTCAGACCACACATGAAGATACATTATACGCACTACCGGATCCAGGATTTCAATTTGGGAGGAGCTTCAGCCCGAAAGCTGTTTTTTTCATAAAAATAACGTTAATTACTTTGGAAAAAAAAGAAAGAAACTAACTACCTGTATGAATTGGTGTTTAAGTGATTCCTAAAGCCCTTTAAAACGTAATTATACAAACAATAATACTTTAAGAGATACTTTTTAAATATTTTTTTCAATAAAACATGGATACATTTTACCATTTTGGGGGGGGGGGCTTCAGCCCGAAAGCCCCCCCTCCCCCGTAGATCCGCCCGTGATTATACGCAGACGTGCACATGAAGATATTTTTTTTATTAAAGAAAAAATCATATCTTAAATTTAACTTAAAAAAAGATGATTTTTTTCCGTATTTTTATTTTTAGATATTGGCTTTAGCTTGATTCCTATTTATTCATTGCTATTTTTAATATTACTTCCACAATAGAGGAGGGAATGGCCAAGGACGTTGGGGCGTGGGTTCCTGAGTGCCCGGGGTTCGGAACGGTGTGGGTTCGATTCCACTTGGGTCGATTAATTTTCATTTCTCGGCGGCGCTGGGAAATTTATGTTGATATTCTCATCCTGGTAAATACGCGGCGGCAATCTCGGGGGATTAGAAAAAAGAACCATGATAGGACTCACTTGCCGGACTAGAACTATTCTCCCATCAGTAGCACTTCAACAATACATCACTGAAAAATTGTAAAAAAAAATAATAATAAGAAACATGGATGGATTCAATTTTAGTACAAACTACAATTTGACTTGTATTGTTTTATTAAATAATCAATTGCTTTATTTCATTAAAATTAAGGTTAGACCAGTTACAACCTTCTCAAACCCTGGTAACGAGCTGTCAATGGAAACATATGATCCACAAAATCTGGAATAAATTAGGGTTTGACAAAAATAAATGCCTAATAAAGGATTCACGTAGCATTAAATAGAATCGTTGAAAAATTAAACCGTTTATTTTTTTCGCACCCATTTTAAAAAAGATGAACACACAATTCAATGTTAATAACTATGAGTGGAAAAGTTTTTTTTATTTACCAGTTAACAATGTTTATAACCTCTCGATCACTAATTACATTACATAATCACGTCATCTCAGATCATAAAATAACTGTGATTTAAATTAGTAAAGTAAATTCACAAGATGAACGCCATGAACACATACATAAAGAAAGAGGTACAGTTCTTAACATAAAGCTACGATTAGTTAGGTTACTTTATTGATGTATAGCGGTTGATCTTTTCTTCTGATTATTTATAGTCCAAAGCTTAATTTTGTGCAAAACTTCAGTAAATAATTGAATATATTTTCATATACAATTGAAGACTACGTTTCTTAACTTGCTCCAGCAAATAAGGATCCGAAAAATATGTATTTTCTCGTTATGGCTACTTTTCATCAATATATCATTGCCATATAGCAAAAAGTCACTAAGTAAATTTTTGGATGGAGCTTAGATATAAATTTTAGCTAAAACGTATTTCCAAACACAAGGCTTTATCCTTAATTTGGGATTTTTCAGGTAATTATTTTATATTAACAACATATTTTAAAAATCTCATTAATAATTGGCTATAATCAAGAAATATCATCTGCCACAAAGAAACATTTTTCAAGCATTTTCAAATGGGCTTGCGGGTTCAACCTAATGCCATTAGTTTGGTTTTCCCCTTAGTGACTCTGAAACCCACACGCCGTGCTTCTGCATAAAGCTTATTAAACTCACCTCTTACAGTAGCCAGGAATCTCCTAACCGCCACATCATCTCTATATGCCAGTATCTGGGTCATCCTGGATTAAATGGTTCCTCCAGGGTCTTGCTCAGCTTGTTTCACATTGGATTGGAGGACAATATTAAGTAAAAGAGGAGCTAATGGGCTCCATCGCCTCAATCCATTTTTTATTTTAAATGAATCTGAAGGTTCACTCAGTATTTTAATCCAGCGTTCGTTCCGAACCATGGTACACCTGGTCAGCCTCATGAGCTTATTCGGTATCCTCTATTCACCCATACTAGTACACAAGGCATTTCTGTCGACAGTGTCATATGTTGCTTCAAAATCCAGAAAAAGCATCCATGCACAAATAGGTCTGTATCTTCCAAATTCTCTCATCTTCTCAGAGATCCGATTAATAGAAAAAAAATCTGGTGGATCTGTTGCGTCGGAACCCTCCTTGGTGGTCTCCAAGCACTGTTTCCGCAAACGGGGCTATTCTTCTATATAAAGCAACAGAAAAGACCTCATATGCATGATATCCCTTACATTGCATGATGTCCCCTTTTCTTTTGTACGAGTACTATTTAATTCTTTGACCAATCACTATGGATCACTTCTTGCCAAATTGGATTATCTCTGTATTTTATTAATAAATTTGTTATGACTGCTTTTTATAATGTCTATCGCATTCGGTAGTTCTAAATTCTTGTGAAGTATCTTTGTCTTTTGTAATAAACTGTCACAATACGTCTCAGCACACTGTTATGAAATGGCTGGAGCTTACTTGCCGTTGAGCATATATTAACTAGAATGGGCCATGAAGGATGACTGGTTTTAAATCGCGTTCATAAATTATTACTTTAAGGTGGAATGATTGGTATTGTATAGTATGCAGGTGTTTTATGTTGTTATTTTGATTAGTTTAGTTCTTTTGTTTATATTCGTTTATTTTTATTATTATTAGTTTCTGTATTAGTTATTGTAAATAGAGTGTGAGTGTGCTCTCTGAACTCTATTATAAATGTCCTTGATTGTGATAGAAGGTAATATTTCTGAATAAACAAATAAAAAAAATAAAAGGTGGAATGATAAATTTGGTTATACAATAGATTGTTTAGTCTGTAAGATGATGTTATTGTAACAGAGACAGAATAGTGTGAGGTGGTACCTAAGGTTGTCAATCGTGACACCCAAATACAGTAAAGTCTCTGCCGTCCTATTTTTTCCGCCTATACTCCGTAACAGCTTGTTCTTTGGAAGGATAAAATGATACATTAGGTATTCCTAGGATTAAATGTAATATTTAGTGCTTGCAGTTTCTTTGTGCTTTATTCACAAGGCTCTTACACTTTCCTTAGAGCTCTTGTTGCATTTAAATAGCTATTGTAAATTTCAATGTCATCGGCGAACGCTGGTACTGTACATTTTCAGCCGTGTACACCAAACAGTATTGAGGAAAGCATAGACCCTGGGGGGATACTGCAGGAGGACGCAACATCTTTAGATATTGACTCGTCGACCTCACTTACTCTGATTGAACGATGCAGCAGAAATCACTGCAGTAGCGTATACAACTGATATGGGAACTTATTGCTTTGTAGAGTCTTGCGTGGAAGCTCATGAGACACTGAGTCGTGTTAATTGTAATCATTGTGATCACTTTGTTCTTGGCAGTATGGTGTTATTTCCGGCAGAAGGTGCTATGAGAAGAGGCCGGATAAGGGTTTGTCATTATTTGAAAAACCAATAATAACACGGCACCAAAAAACAAATTTTTGAATGTTTTCACTTCATTAGTCAATTCTTACTAATTTTTGGTTGAAAAAACGAATAGGGCAGTGAACATTTTTTCTTAGCTCTAGTTTCTGTGATATACTTTGTAGAATTATATCTGTGAAATACTTGGTAGAAGTATTTCATATTAACGAGTATAAGAGAAAATGATACATTTTAATTATTTATGCTACCAACATTGAAAGTGCAATTGATTTTTCAAAATGGTAGTTACATTCTAAGAGTTCTAAATTGCTGGAAGAATACCTCATAGATGGTCGTGTTTGAAGAGATGATGTGGTGGCTTCATAAGATCGTGGTCTTTTAGCTTACCTATTGCAAGGGAGTTCCGGAGCATCCCTACAAAACCAACAGTAATTTGCAAGCATTGCTTCATTCCAATGGCCCTGATATCTCTGTTCCTTAACAGAAATGTCCTGATTGAATCTTTCTCCATGTTCATCACTAACAGCTCCACAACTAGGAGAGAAAAAGTTTTTAGATTTTTAGAGATATGTTGCATCCAAGGTTATGGTACCTTTGCAGGATCACTGTCACCAAATGCGTTGTTGTCAGCTCTTTTCCCTAAAGATCTACGAACAATTCCCTTGAAGGCTTCCCAAGCTTCCTTTTCTTTCCCTTCTAAAAGTTGGTCAAATGCGAACGCCACGGCCAAGCAGTGCAAGAATTCTTGCCGTTCACCCTGACCACAGAGCATGATTGGTCACAGGCTCCGTGAGTTACGGGTATGGCTTTTCATCAACTGCTGATAGAAGCTCCTTCATGTGAACTGCATCACCAACAGGAATAGAAGAAAGAAGTTTGCCATTGTGAAGTAACACAGCTTCCAAACTATGCTTGGAGGAGTCGATTTATAGACTCCATTCAGTTGGATCAGGGTTTAAATTCAAAGATTTCATCAAGCCATAAATGTGACGTTTTCTGTACTGTCAGATTCTGACATCACTTTCGAGAAGATTCCATTGCTGTAGTCGAGATCCAAGAATTTCTGTTTTCTCCTTTGAAAGGCCAAAGTCTCTAATGAGATCACCCAATTTCGAAGATGATAAATCATCTTTTTCCTCAAAATCAGCCACAGGATCTGAAAGGCTTGTTTGGTTCTTCTTCTTGTTCCACACCGTCTTCAGTTTTTACTTCAAACACACAATTTTCTGGTGGAGGAGAAACGGGTAAACTATCTGAAATCAGAATGGGTCGAACTGCAGATCAAAGATTCGGGTACTGAACTGTTCTTCTTTTCTTCGTAGAAAATGCTGCCTTTATAGGTAGAGTCAAGCAGAAATAGCAGTAATCTGTAGGGCATAAAGTTTTTTTAGTCTCAACAATTAAAATAGTATATTTTAAATTTATCCAAATTTTCGCCTCTTCAGGGAAAAAAACTAGAGACCATATCTTTCCTCCTAGTTGTCCGATCTTAATAATAATAATAATAAGGCTTAGCGAACCCGAAGGTTCCATACCGACACCACCAATCGCTTGTTACACACCTCCCTCCACCGTTCGCCGTCCAAACCCAGTCCCTTCAGATCGGCTTTAATGCAATCTTCCCACCTTCGCTTCGGTCTACCCCTCGGACGCTTACCATTCGGCACAGCAAATATTAACCTTTTAGGAATTCTCTCGTTACTAAGCCCAACAACTTTACAAGCCCATTTGATTCGCCGCGATGAAATTACCTCAATTATATTACCCGGATACAGCTCACGCAATTCGGCGTTGTGTAACCGTCTGAACTCTCCGGTTAACTCATCCTTCTTCGGTCCGAATATTCTACGCAATACTTTATTTTCAAAAACCTTAAGACGCTGCTCATCCCTTAATGTAAGCGGCCAAGTTTCGCATCCATAAAGAACTGTAGGCAAGATAATTGTTTTATAGATTCTAATTTTTAAGTTTCGGGACAAGAGGCGCGAACTAAGTAGTTTTGTCACAGAAAAATAACAAGCATTCCCCGCCTTCAGTCTAACCTTAATCTCTTCTTCAATTTCGTTTTTTCTAGTTATCGTAGAACCTAGATACCTAAATTTATCTACCTGTTCAAACATATTACCATCTATATCGATATCACCAGTAGTATCGCCATTTTTGCAGCTAACCATATATTTTGTTTTATCCACGTTTATTTCGAGTCCTAGTTCTTTACCGGCTTTCATTAACGTTGTCGTATTTAGTTTTATAGTTTCAACGTCTTCGCTTAACAGTACCAGATCATCAGCATAGCCCAGCACGGATGTTGTCCCGCCCAGATCCAACCCTTTCTCGGTTCGCATTACCTCCCTAATGGCATGTTCTAATGCCAAATTGAACAGGACAGGCGAAAGAGAATCCCCCTGTTTTAAGCCCGAACGAACCTCAAATTTTTCGGACAAATTATTACCGATTCTAACTTTATTGAGTGTCTCCGTCAAGCACATCCTGACTAGATTTACTAGTTTTTTTGGAATCCCCTGCTCGATTAGAATATTATACAGTTTCTGGCGGTCAATAGAATCGTAAGCCTTTTTAAAATCTATATACAGCTGGTGAACAATACCGTTATACTCCAATTTTTTCTCTAATATTTGCCGTAAAGAAAATATTTGATCAATAGTCGAACGATTCCGTCTAAATCCGCATTGGTAGTCTCCGATAATTTCCTCGGCGTATTCCGTGATTCGACTGGTTAAGATTAAAGTGAATATTTTATAACATACCGGAAGGAGTGAAATTCCTCGATAGTTATTACAATCCGTCCTCGGACCCTTTTTGTGAATCGGAATAAGAATAGATTCTTTCCATTCTTCAGGTAATTTCTCGTTCACCCAGATCTTTTTAACCAACCGATGTATTTTAGAAACTCCAGCTTCCCCGCATGCCTTAATTAGTTCAGTAGGAATATTATCGATTCCCGCTGCTTTATATGATTTTAATTTTCCGATAGCTACTTCAACTTCCTCTTTACTTGGTCCTTCTATTAACGGTTCAGCACTCTGGTACTCAGAAGGAGGACACAGATCATAATTTCCCGTATTTAAAATATTGTCAAAGTGGTCCTTAAACTTATTCAATATGTCAACCGGATCGGTCAGAATATTGTTATTATCATCCCTAATTCCAGACGTTACGGGCCCTACATATTTACGTGATCTGTTTATACCTTTGTACATGTCTCTTACGTTATTTTCGATTCTATTAGTTTCTATTTCAATTATTTTATTTTTAAGATACTCCCTTTTTTTATTTTTGAGCAATTTTGTCGTTTCGTTCTTTGAGATTCGGAAGTATTCCAGATTGTCTTCGCTAGGATTATTTAGAGCTTTTAATTTAGCGGCTTTTCTTTTTTCACACATGTTTAAGCAATCTTCATCAAACCACGGTTTGTTATTCTTATTTTCCTTTTTTCCTAGACACGAGTTACCGACCGCTTTAATATTATCCCTGATCTCTATCCATAACTTGTCAATATCCTCGTGGTCCTCGTCAGGAAGCTCTAAAGCTTCAAACCTATTCTTAACATCTAGCTCGAATTGGTTTCTAATTGATGGATTTTTTAATTTTTCCAAATTAAAATTCTCAAAATCGAAACGGTTTTCTTTTCTCTTTTTTATATTAAGTTTTTGTCGAAGTTTCGCGATTACTAATTCATGATCCGACCCACATTCTGCTCCGCGATAAGACCGTACATTAATTATACTGCTTTGCCAGCTATGTTGTATCAAGACATGATCGATTTGATTTCGTGTTTGCGAATCCGGTGATGTCCAAGTATATTTATGAATATCCTTGTGTTTAAACGTCGTACTTTTAATTATCAGGTTTTTCGAGATGGCAAAGTTTATCAGACGGATCCCATTATCATTACTATATTCGTGCAAACTTTCTTTACCAATCGTCGGAATATAAACTTCTTCCCTTCCTACCTTTGCGTTCGCGTCACCTACAATTATTTTCATGTAGTTTCGCGGTAGTTTATCATAAACCCATTCGAGTTTATCGTAAAATTCACTTTTGACTTCATCGTCACTGTCTTCGGTCGGACAATGTATGTTTATTAATGCGATTTTAAACCAACGTCCCTGAAATGTAGCTACCGAAATTCTATCACTAAAGAATTGTACGTCCCTCAAAGCGGATAGTAATCTACTCCTAATTAGAAACCCGGTACCCAAACAATGATTCCCGCTTCCTCCGTACCAAATAGTGTACTTTCCTTCCCTCATCGAGCCCTCCCCTGGCCAGCGAACCTCTTGCAGAGCCACGACATCCAAATTGTACCCATTTACCTCATTCGCGACCGATTTTAGCCCCCCTGCTGTGTTTAAACTCCTTACGTTCCACGTACCAATATTTAAATCCCTATATTTCAACTTGCACCATGAATCCCCTAAAACAGTCCCCACCCGGAGACCCGAACGGGGGACTAGTTTACCTCCGGATAATGAGCGTTTTACCTTAGGGAGATCCATGACTTTTTGTGGTGTTTGGTGAACTAAAGATATGTGAGTAGGGCGTTCAATCCTACGTCACACCCTCCAGCAAGTCTGGTGGGCCCCTACCTCCAGCAAGTCTGGAGGTCCCCTCCCTCCAGCAAGTCTGGAGGGCCCCTCTCATTGTTGGTCAGCGAGTCCATCGGACTTAGCCGGGAGGAACTTCCAAGGAATTTCCACCGACCATCCCCACATCCGCCACCCGTGGGACGCTCCCCATACGCGGTAATGAGCCCGCGCGAGGTGTCCGATCTTAACGATTTTTTTTTTGTTTTTTTAGGAAATTCCATAAACTTTTAAAAAAACAATATAAATTCCGAATAACTTAAAAAGTGTATACTTTTTGAGTTATTCGGAATTTAATTTTACCATCGCTCGTAACTTTTTTTCCAGCTTCTTTTCGTTGAAGTATGTTATATAGATAAATTTAAAGAGTGTCGAGAAAATGACTTTAGCGAAGTTTCATTGAAATCGGTGCATCCGTTTAGGCGCTACAGTCTATAGCAACGTAGGTTTTTCTGCTTTTTTTTTCTCCTCTATTAACTTATAAAATTCTTTCAAAAGTTATATTTAGCATTTTTTCATTACTTTGAATAATGTGAAATGATTAACTTTTTGAAATAAACCATATTTAAGGTACTTTAGAGGAAGACGTATATGAACATTGGGCATTTAAGCCCAGCTCAGTGAAATCAATGGGGATAAGACCTAATTGATATTAAAGACCACTTAATTATACAATGATACACCGAGTTAATTCAAAATCGTTGGAGCCGTTTTTGAGAAAATTGTGAAAATGTGTTTCAGCGTTCATATAAAGTGGCACTTCCGGTTAGCCGATTTTAAGGAAAAAGTTGCCGTCACATCTAAGGCATATACCTATTTTAAATACGTAATATCAGTTTCGTAGGACTTTTCGTTTTTGAGCTAGACTGCTAACATACAAACACACAGACACACAGACCATTTTTCGGGACTTGGTCATTTCGACTCAGGGTACCTCAAGACGTCTATTTCCGTTGAAAACTCAGATTCAAAAATTTTCTCGATCGCAATACTTACACTTACTATATATTAGATATATACGTAAGTGAAAGTAAAAATAAATTCATAATTGATATAAAATTTAAATGATATTTTCAAGTCATTAATAATTTTAAAATTTTTCAAAATTCACATCAGTACAAAAAATATAAATGAACGAAATCGGACAACTTTAAGCTAAGTATACTTGTTAATATTTATTATTATGAATGTGAAGCATTGTAATCGATAAAGGAAAAGAAAATCAATTACTTCTTCTCAAAATACATTGCATTTACTTGATCACATATCATATGGCCATTTTTTGTTCACTAGTAGCCAGCGCCCACTACTAATCTACATTAACGTTCAATTTTGCTATTAAAATTACTTAAGTATAAGTTGCTTTATGGTTTCAGACAGTGATGAAGTCTTATCAGCCAAAGCCACTAACTACAATGTTCTTGTAAGTAAAAATATCGCGGCTATGAAAATTAATATATTTGAAGCGATGATCTTAGTTTTCTCTAAAAATGATCATAGTTTGAGACTCTAGTTTTCACTCAAATATATTATTGGATCCGTATTAAAAAATAAAAATAAAATCATGCATATACTCTATTCATTTAACTCTTCTTTTTAAAATAGTTACACCATGAGTGGAAGAAATCGTTTTCTATAATATTATATATTAAATTTAATTATTAGTTATTTTATATTAACTCAATATCACAGCTTCTTTGATTGATAAATTTTAAGACGATGATAGTCTTTAATTTTTTCTGAAAAATTAATTTTTATTTCAGGTTGCTCTTATAGGTGCTAACACGACATTTGGCAAAATAACATCCTTCTTATTGAAACAGTCTCCAGTTTTGAGTAAACTAACATTGTATGATGAAAAAAGTCTAAAATCTTTTGACGATATGAAGTACATAAACACACCTTGCAAAGTATCATTTGTCAATGGAAGAGAACATATAAGTGAAGCAATCAAGGTATTCTTCACAATTCTTTTAAACAATAGTTGTACCCAATGCCATTATTCCTAAGGACCAATTGAACCCAGTTTTTTTTTGTTCCCATTTTTTTTTTATTTCAAAATTAAGTACTTCAAATTCAATTTTTCTTTTTTGATTTGTCTAAATGATGTATCTACCCACTGGGCTCATTAAAAAAGTTCATTCTATATATATATGGGGTGCTACAATTCATTGCTGGTTGGTTTTTTTTTTTGTCATTCCTGCCTCGCCACTTCGGCCAGGTGGTTTTTTTTTCGGGCCAGGGGATTAATACTAAAGTTAAAAGTTTTCCCGGCACCAGACGCGAACACATATTTATTTTATCGAGTTACGCGTTTAACAGGTTGCCGGTGTTTTGTACACGCGTTAGCCCGCTCAGCCAGTCTGCCCTCATTGCTGAATCAGGACCTCTTCAAATTTTTCCTCCAATCATCCCCCTTCTGTACAGCAGAAATCCATTCCGTTGTCCAAGAATATTCTTAGCATCTGCGTCGACCCTATCCAGCCACTCGTTTCGGGTCGCCCCACTCCTCTTGCTTGATATAGTTTCCATTCCTAATTTTTTTTAAATTTAATTCTCATTCCTCCTTGCGAAGTGTCCCGCCCATCCGAGCCTCCTTATACTAATCGATTTTGCAAGTATATCTGCGTTTTTTTTTTTTTTTTTTTTTTTTTTTTGGGTCCTCCCCTTCCTCGCCGTTTAGGCTATACGGGGTTTTCCCGGGCCAGGGGGTGTGGGCGGGCATTTAAAAGACTCCCTCGGCACCGGGACGCGAACTCGTGACTATTTTTATATCATTAGATTCATATCATCAGGTTGCCGGGCAACAGCGGTGCTGTGCACACGCTTTAGCCCATTCGGCTACCCCGCCCACTATATCTGCGTTCTTGAAGAGTCCGTAGATCTCCTGGTTTTTCTTCTTCTTTATGCATTACCTTACTATATAGGACTAAAAATTCTTCTCTGGTTCATCCTTTCAATAATCAGCGGCCTTTATTCATCCATCTTATCCACACCCAAGGTTTTTTATATCAGTATGCGAGGATTGGGCAAACTACTTCTTCGAAAATGTAATAATAGACTTCAATCGATCTAATAATCGAAGAAATCCGGAATGTATAAATAAATCTATTTACGAATTTGGAATCGATATAATTTTATAAAAGTGTGTCTTTCATTACCCCCAAATTCGGAACCATTATTGAAGAAATTAAATACATATTCGTTAAAATAATGATGGAGTAGATGGAAAATGAAAAAGTAGTACTCAAAGAATTTGGCTGAGTACTTATTGTAATCAGATAATATAAAACCACGAGTTCTTTCTGTACTTGACCAACGTCTGATTAACATTGCGCAAGTACTTTCACCCAAAAGGAGCTAAGTACTGAAACTACTCAAATCACAAATAATTGAGTACTACTCATCTCTATTCCAGTGTACCTCTGGCTTTACTACATGAAGTATTTTTATAATTGAAAATACTTCATGTATTAAGTCCTGAAGTATTTTTAGGACGTTCAAACCTACTTCACACAATCATGTAAGGCTGGAAATTTGCTCTCATTGTTGGTCAGCGAGTCCATCGGACTTTGCCGGAAGAAACTTTTCAGAAAGACAAATTTTAGTAAATAAATACTGAAAACCAAACTAGCAATAAATCTGAATCTAGTTCCACTTAATTTATTACTTTTTATCTTCAGGCAGCAGATATTATAATTATTGGAGATGACAATCCTAAAGAAATGAGCCATGAAGCTACTTTAGTCTCTAGAGTCCCATCATTTTCAAATTATGTTCAACAGATAGCAGATCATAATCCTAACGTAAGCGTTTATATTAGATTGTTTTTCCTCCTAGTTATTAGTTGAATGTACAGAAGTATTTAAATTTTCTTTTTTTTTAAGGCAATAATTATAGTAGCCACAAATCCAGTTAACATGACTGTTCCATTAGCAGCTGAGGTGTTGAGAAATCTTGGTAAATTTGATGAAAGGAAACTTATTGGCATGACTAACGTAGAGAACATCAAGGCAAGGGCTATCCTAGCTCGTCATCTTCAAATCTGCCCGGGAACGATTGATTTTCCAGTTATTGGAGGCTCAACATCAGAGACAAGTGTACCATTATTGTCAAATACGAACCCCCGTATTCCTTTGAGTAAGGTACGTTAATTCTAGAATTATTATTTACCCGGCTAAGATCTTCACATTAGTAAAACGCTCTATCTGAAATTTTTTTTTGGTTCCTCCCCTTCCTCGCCGTTAAGGCTATACGGGTTTTTTCCCGGGCCAGGGAGTGTGGACGGGGATTTAAAAGACTCCCTTCGGCACCTGGATGCGAACTCGTGACTATTTTTATATCATTTGATTGATATATCAGGTTGCCGGGCAACGGTGCAGTGCAAACGCGTTAGCCCATTCGGCCACCCCGCCCAGTAAATCGTCTAGTGTCTGTAATTTGTAACTTTAATTCATTTTAGTCGGACATTATTTACCATTGGTTAATAAATTTGCCAGTCCAGTAAATTTAGATCGAGAAGAGGGTCAATATCCAAATAATTCATGAGTTGTAATTTTCAGGTGTAGTTTCACATGTAAAACAAATTATGAAAAATTATATCATATTTCTTGTACGCTTCCATCAAAAAAGTTGGATGAACGATGGTCTCAACTATTATTTTTTGAGTTATAGTTAGTAGTACAATCGTTTCGTAGTTTTACATGAAAGTTTTCCGCAAGTTTTCGCAATAGGTAATTTTATAGATTGCAATGTGCTCTTTGAATTATTTTGTTTTATGCGCCCCCAAAACTGTAGTACATCACGCGTTTTGGCCAAAAAAACTCATTTCCACACCGCCTTTGAGGAAGAGTAGCGGCGTTGTTTTTTTTTATCTTGGTATCCCCAGTAGGCTTAATCCACATGCAATTCACTATTACAAAATTTAGCAAATTCTCCTTCGCTTAGGTGTTCTTGATGGACCAGATGTTGCGAGTTCATTATCTTTAGTACCAATCGAATCCTCCCAGAACGAAATTTCTTCTACATCGTCCGCGATGAGATTACCAGTTTCATCGCTATCCTCATAGTTCTCGATTTCATATATATATATATATATATATATACATTTGATCGAAAATAGTCTCCGTTTCTTCCTCTTTATCGCTATCTTGTAATGGAATTTACAAGTTATCAAAGGTACCAGTTCTTCCATATATCGGAACACTTTAACTCAATCTTTCTGCATCTACAGGCTTTCTTACATCGTTTTTGACATTTGCAAGAAATGAGCGTTAACAAGCTTTACCAAGCTGGGGACTCGGGTGTGGTGACCCTCATTGCTCATCCCATTGGCCGTCACCATTGCTCTGCATTTTGTTCAATCTCATATCACTGCTGAGCCTGGTGATGGGTTGGGAACAAATGTTGTCATGCTGCTGCTTCTGTTAGTAGTAACGTCGCAATACTTTTATATGGTGATATTATGAAACGTGCATATCTATTGTTGTTTAAAGACATACTTTTCTTATTTCTTATTCACATTATTGTAACCGTATAATTCAATAAAGAAGCATTCTCCAGCTTTAGCAATGGTCTCTTGATCAGCATTTGGATTTTTGAATACCTGAATAACCACGTATAAATCTAATTTTTTTTTAAATACATTAATAAATTTCATTTTTCCTCGATTAAATGATGCTGATGTATCACAGCCACTAAAGGAATGAAAAAATAAAATATGATCTGCTGCTGTTTTATCTATGGTACTTTTTATTGAATATATATGTTGCGATTTTTTTCTTTTCCTAGTTTGAAAGGGTAGATAGAGCCGTAAAAAAAAATCCAAAGATCTACATCTTGCCGACAACTAATACGAAATCAAATGCCGATGAAATGCTTATTGTGGTATTGATTATTAGTGTATCCGCTCCTTCCGTGGCTTGTTTTACCATGACGTTCTCAGCTTCAAATTTTATCTTCAACATTGTAATGAGGCGGTTCTTGTTTGCATAATTGTCCAGGAATTTATTTTCTGATACTGTCGGGATCATTGGCTCGTCTAAAATTATGTCTACTGAAGCAGTTTTTCGTGGTCGTCGTGATCGCTCCACATATTGGTACACATTTCTTTATCGTGAAATGAGTCGAAAAAAAAACATTTTAAAATAACTGCTTTTAGGCTTCATTTTTCCAATATGGCGATGGGAGCGGCAAAGATACGTGGTGGCAGAGTTGAAATTTGGGAAGAGCACATCGAAATCTATAAAATTACTCCTTTGCAAAACTCTCGGAAAATCGTTGCAGGCAACCTCTACAGATTCTACTATAGGTAATATTCCCTCATGCTGAAAAATCATTTTTTAAATAATTCTTGGAAAGGACACTTGTTTTCTATTTAAAGAAAAAATGTTCTCAATAATAACATCATGTATAAGCTGTAAAATCATTTATGACAAAAAACAAAATTTTTCAGGATCCAAATTCTGTTTCGCCCTAATAATTATAAAACTACTGATACATAGAAATGCGATTTTAATTTTTTTAAGAGATTTGCTGAGGAAGGAATTGATGACCGCAGGCTGCGCTTAAGTCGGATAACATTGTTCGACCATTAATTAAAAAAGGTTGCCTGAAGTCAGTGGGCGAAGAAGATTTGATCGCAGAAAATAATAACAATTTTTAATGTGACTTCCGTGCCCATATTTAATTGTAATATAAGTTCCTTGAAGAAAATATTACGCTCTAAAACTTAGTTCCCATCCACTTATATACTAAAACCAACCAATTATCATGTATTTGCCTGAAAAAGCTGTAATGGAATAATGGACGCAGTTTACTCGAAACCTATTATTAATACAACATATTACCCAAATGATTAATAGAACACTTTTAATGTACAATTTTACGAGGAATATTTTGTTTCCATGCATTATTCAAATTAGATCAATAAAATAAAAGATAATTATAATTATAGATAATCTATAATTAAGAACTTACAAAGAGTGTCACGTTTGAGGGTGAGAGGGATGATTTTTCGCGAATTAGATGTTTCAACCATCAGGCAGGTGGGAACTCATTCATTCCTTATTTAACAAACTTCTGTGAAGGACAAAATTTTATAAATTACTTCTCAAAAAAAAAAAATCAGTCGTGCGACTATTGGTTTAATAATCATCGGTGTAACTTATCTATACTTTAATAACATGTTTTCAATATTTTAACTCCATACAATAATGAATAGAAAGTACAAGGAGGAATCACTCAGATTATATATATATATATATATATATATATATATATATATATATATATCAGATCTATATCTATATCACATCTATATATATATATATATATATATATATATGACGGACTGGCGGAGGTGTAGCTTTGTATGTTCACGAATGCCTGAAGACCCCAATACTCCACTGCTCTGCTCTATCCGATCACCCACACGTCGAGTTCCTAATCGTTGAAATTTCCTGTGATACATCTCCTATCCTTTATGTCGTAGTATATAGACCTCCTCTTGTTCTCGTTGATCCGTCATTTGAATCATCCCTCTTCAACTTCGTTCCTCTGTATACCAAAATCATCATTTCCGGTGACCTAAACACTAATTTCCTTTCTGACTCCAGCGATAAATCATACCTCGAAAACCTTTTTTTCTCTCTCCATCTTTTCATTGTTCCTTTTTCTTCCACTCATCACACCCCCAGGTCCGATACTTGTTTGGACCATTACATTATCGACTCCTCTCAGAACTTCCTTTCCTCCTCACAAGTACCGGTCTCCTTTTTATCCTCTCATGACCTAATCCAAATTTCATATAATATTCATACTCCTCCGACCCTACCTAGAACCATAACTTTCCGTAATATTGATGTCCTCACTCGGGACAAAAATCTTACCCTACGTGAACACCCTTGATTGGAATGGAATATATTCCTGTTCATGTATTGACTCTATGGTTGACATTTTAACTTCCAACCTCCTTAATATCCTCGATGCTCATGCTCCCATCAAAACCTCTACCTTTCGTCGGTCCCCGGCTCTCTGGATGTGTCAGCAAATTAAAGGTCTTCAGAAGAGACGTGATGCTGCCTTCCCGCAGACGCTTTAGATGCATTCGGCTCGCTGACGACTACCAAGCGTTTAAGGTGCTCCGTAACCATACACAAATCAAACTCCGACGAGCCAAATCTACCTATTTCCACGAAGCCCTTTCATCAGCTACTGATTCCGAAACCAAATAGCTACTCCTTCGTAAACTCCCCCTCTGTGAATCTTCCTGATCACCTTCCTCAGCAGTCTTTCCAGTCTCACCTGATGAGTTAAATTCATATTTTATACCAGCTTCCTCTTCCATTCCTCAATCAACCTCTTCCTTGTTTACTCCTAGAATATCGTTTAACGTAGACAACTTTTATTTTTCAGATATTTCTTCCACAGACCTCATATCCGCCGTGATGAAATCTCAATCCAATTCTATTGGTCCAGATGGTATTCCTGTAAAATGAATCAAATTGTGCCTAACTGAAATCCTTCCCGCTCTCCTTTTCATCTATAATTTCTCCCTTCAGAACTCAGTACTCATGGAAAAAAGCCATTGTCCGCCATTTACTTAAAAATCCTAACCCTTCTTTCCCTGAAGATTACCGTCCAATCCCAATCGTTTCTAACCTAGCGAAACCTCTCGAACGAATAGTCCAATACCAGGTTTCGAATTTCCTCAAACAGTCCAACCAACTTGACCCTTACCAGTCTGGTTTTCGACCAGGTTACTCCACAATCATTAGTGATGTCCGCCATAGATGACAAAAAACTAACTGTCCTTGTACTCCTTGACTTTTCCAAAGCCTTTGATACCATTAACCATTCCATCCTTTTCTCCAAATTAAAATCGTTATCCTTTCCCAACAGCTCTATCCTTTGGTTTCAATCTTTCCTCTCTCAACGTACCCAAGCAGTCTCTATTCCTAACCAACCTTTATCTTTCTATCTAACGCTGTCTTCAGGAGTGGCACAGGGCTCTAGCATATCTCCTCTTCTTTTTAGTTCATATATTAACGATCTTCATAAATCAATCCTTCACTTTTCCCATCACATTTATGCCGATAATTCCCAAATTTACCTCTCCTTCGCTCCCTCTGAGTGGCATGATACG